ATGCAAGTGTACAAAGTGTGCAAGTGTAAGAACTGATGCTGTTTTGAAGGTAAAGGGTGGTCACACCAAATATTGATTTGATTTGGATTTCTCTTCTGTTCACTCACTTTGCATTTTGTAAACTGATAAACATAAACAATTACAATATATATTTTTGAAAGCATTCTATTTCTCTTCTGTTCACTCACTTTGCATTTTGTAAACTGATAAACATAAACAATTACAATATATATTTTTGAAAGCATTCTTACTTTACAGCATTTCTTCACACCTGCCTAAAACTTTTGCACATTACTGTATGTTGGGCTCCCATAATTTCACAATACACCTAGAACAAGCACAAAGGCAACCTGCTGTCTTCTAATTGTCCAGGATTACAACATCCACAATCCCTTGCCATTTCCCAAGTGAACTGGAGGAGACATCAGGTTGCCTCCTAACATAGAAGTTCAGAGAGGACACGGCAAAGAGCTGTCAGTTCATTCATGCCTTGAAAGCCACTTGGTGGGTGATTCAAGGGGTGGTTAAGAAGTATCTAAGGAAACTGCTGTCAAATAGCAAAAACTGAGGCAGTGCTTCTAACCCTCTGACCATCCTTGGTCCATATTAAATGTGGAAATTACACAAAAATCAAAGTTTCTTTGCAGAACATATTTGAGCAGGTGTCAACACACTAAATCAACCCAGAGTTCTTACTCAAAGCACAAATGACCAAGGTCAAATTATCCTACTTTGGACACATTATGAGAAGACCCAGCTCTCTGGAGAAGGCTCTAGTGCTGGGAAAGGTGGAAGGAAAGAGAAGAAGACGACCAGCAGCAAGGTGGAGGGACTCAGTTACAGAGGCAATGAGTGCACCATTGGAAGACTTGAAGGACCAGGCTGGGGATAGACTGTGATGGAGAAAATCTACGTGGCCAGTAGGAGTCGAAAACGACTTGATGTACATTATCAATCAATCAACACAGCAGCATTTGGGGGCTGGTGGACATACTTGGAATTTTTAATTTTAGTAAGCACCCTTGCAAAATGGCTTCCAAAATGGGATGAGTATTTATTAACAGAATGGCTGCTTTTATGGATGTGGCTACTCACTAAGCAGAAAACTGGTGAAGCACAGAGGGAAGTAATTTGAACAAGAAGCTAAACTCAGCCCAGCTTCAAATGCAATGCCACTCTTTTGACCCCACATCCCACCCAAATAAGAGAAGAGGTAAAATCAGGAGGTAAATTAATAAGGCTGAGAGACAAGTAACTTGATAAAGAAACAGAATAAGGCAGATGGGTTGACCTGAGCCCAAAGGTTAAATTTCACGTTTGCTGCAAGGAAGCACCAAAAATAAAAAAAAATCCTGCTGATGCTCAGAGAAACACATATCCTCCTCTCAGATAGGTCAGTGAAACACCTGCATCAGACACACAGATATACTGCACTAAAAACAAAACATACAAACGCGAGTGAAACACCCTCCTTCTTAAAACAGCATCACTCAAGGATGCTCCCCACCAGAGAACTGTTGCATTATAACACCCCATCACATGCTAGGCATTTCTGTTAGTGCAGACTAGTAAA